GATCATTCATGTATATTAGCAACAGTAGTGGTCCTAGGACTGATCCTTGCGGAACCCCACTTGTTACTTTCTCCCGTTTGGGTGTCTCATCCTGCCTTCTGTCACTTGACTCAGTGGAGCTTTGTGTGTGTGTGTGTGTGTGTGTGTGTGTGTACTCACCTAGTTGAGGTTGCGGGGGTCGAGTCCGAGCTCCTGGCCCCGCCTCTTCACTGATCGCTACTAGGTCACTCTCCCTGAGCCGTGAGCTTTATCATACTCTGCTTAAAGCTATGTATGGATCCTGCTCCACTACATCGCTTCCCAAACTATTCCACTTACTGACTACTCTGTGGCTGAAGAAATACTTCCTAACATCCCTGTGATTCATCTGTGTCTTCAGCTTCCAACTGTGTCCCCTTGTTACTGTGTCCAATCTCTGGAACATCCTGTCTTGGTCCACCTTGTCAATTCCTCTCAGTATTTTGTATGTCGTTATCATGTCCCCCCTATCCCTCCTGTCCTCCAGTGTCGTGTGTGTGTGTGTGTGTGTGTGTGTGTGTGTGTGTGTGTGTGTGTGTGTGTGTGTGTGTGTGTGTGTGTGTGTGTGTGTGTGTGCGTGTGCGTGCACGCTCGCCTTACCTATTTGTCCTCACCTGTTCGTGTTTGCACGAGTCTAGTCTCAACTCCTGCCCTTCCCCATTAACTTGCCGCTTGCCACACTGACTCCTAGCCTCGCAGGCCCTGCCATACCTATTCCTTAAACTATGTATGGAGCCTGCCTTAAGAACTTCATCACTCAGGTCATTCCACTGGCTCACCATTAATGTTCATCGTACGTCTTTAAATACACACACTCGCTTTGCATTCGAAATAGTGCGTGTGTGTTGTATTCCTGCAGCATCATGCGTATGCAACACGCGCGGTCGTACGACTGAAAGTCGTAATGCGTGTAATATTATTCGTGTTTATATAGAGAACATTATTAAAAACTTCAGCAACGAATTTCGTCATGACTGACTCAAAATATGGCGGAAATTGATGCAAATGTTGTATTATCCTGCCAACACCACCTGCCACCACCTGCCACCACCTACCACTACCTGCCACCACCTACCACTACCTGCCACCGCCTACCACCACCTGCCACCACCTGTCACCACCTTCCACCGCCTACCACCACCTTCCACCGCCTACCACCACCTGCCACCACCTGCCACCACCCACCACCACCTGCCACCACCTACCACCTCCTACCACCGCCTACCATCACCTGCCACCACCTGTCACCACATTCCACCTCCTACCACCGCCTACCACCGCCTACCACCACCTTCTACCGCCTACCACCGCCTACCACCACCTGTCACCACCTTCTACCGCCTACCACCGCCTACCACCACCTGTCACCACCTTCTACCGCCTACCACCACCTGGTACCACCTACCACCACTTTCCAACAGCCGCCTCATCACTGTACACACTTCACTCTCTGGTTCTTGAGGATATCCTCATTGCCTTGTATTTGCCACCACCAGCTAGCAACCTGGTAACACCTAGTACACCAACTAGTAACACCTAGTACACCAACTAGTAACACCTAGTACACCAACTAGTAACACCTAGTACACCAACTAGTAACACCTAGTACACCAACTAGTAACACCTAGTACACCAACTAGTAACACCTAGTACACCAACTAGTAACGCCTAGTACACCAACTAGTACAACTAGTAACGCCTAGTACACCAACTAGTAAAAGTGCACCAGCTAGCAACATGGTAGCATATAGCACACCAACTAGCAACCTGGTAGCATCTAGTACACCAACTAGTTACACCTAGTACACCAACTAGTAACGCCTAGTACACCAGCTAGCAACCCAGTAGCATCTAGTACACCAACTAGCAACACCAGCTATCAATCTAGTCTAGTAACACCTAGTAATCAACCTAGAACCATCTAGGTTGATAGCTAGCAACACCTTGTGCACCAGCTAGCAACCTGGTAACATCTAATACACCAACTAGCAACACCTAGTACACCAGCTAGCAACCTGGTAACATCTAATACACCAACTAGCAACACCTTGTACACCAGCTAGCAACTTAGTAACACCTAGTACACGAGCTATCAACCTAGTAGCATCTGGTACACCATCTAGCAACACTTTGTGCACCAGCTAGCAACCTAGTAACACCTAGTGCACCAGCTAGCAACTTAGTAACACCTAGTACACCAGCTATCAACCTAGCAGCATCTAGTACACCAGCTAGCAACACTTTCTGCACCAGCTAGCAACCTAGTACTTAGCAACCCACTTGTGCACTAGCTAACACTCCTATATTCCCAAGATGTATATATGAGGCGTATAGCACAAATTATATGAGAATTTAGACCTAAATACGCGGGGGCGTTGACCCCCGGAACTCTCTCCAGGTATCTCCAGGTAAATATGTAAGTATATGCGTATGCGTAAATACTTTTATTATTATTATTATTATTATTATTATTATTTATCATTATATTATTATTCATGGGGAACGCTAAACCCTTGCGGGTCACTAAGCACAGAGGGTGGTGAAGTCTGGATGCTGAGTCCTAGAGTCCTAGAGTCCTAGAGAGTAACAAACAATACTGCCGGTTGGATGTTTCTCAGTGAGGTGAGAGAAAGAAAGAAAATGTGAGAGACAGTCAGAAATGTGTGGTCAATGATGAGACCACTGGGGAGGCTTGGTCATGGATCGGGCCGCGGGGGCGTTGACCCCCTGGAACACCCTCCTGGTATACTCCAGGTAAGGATAATCAGTATTGAACGTTGCCTTCTACTGCGTGTGCTCACCTATTTGTGATTGTAGGGATCGATTTACAGCTCCTGGCCCCACCTATTCGCTAGTCGCTATTAAGTTTACTCACTCCCTGCTCCATGAAATTTATCGTACCTCTTCTTAAAGCTATGTATGGGTCCTGCCTCAACTACATCACTCTCCAGATTGTTCCACTTCCTGACAACTCTGTGACTGAAGAAATACTTTCTAACATCCCTGTGACTCATCTGAGTGTGTGTATACCACCCTGAGATGTGTGTGTGTGTCCCACACCCAACACACTTCCACGCACTCCAGGCCCTCCCTCACGCACCCCACGCCCTCCCCCACTCACCCCTCACAACTCCCATTTTTCCAACATACAAGAATGCTCACGACTTCCTCTAAGGTTCCCAGAGATTCATGAACATTATTATCGTGGAACCAACAACCTTTTCTAGAACCTCCAAGAGGCTGGAAGACACTCTTTTGTAGTGTGTGCGTGTCTTTGTATGCGAGTCTGTGTGTGCGTGTCTGTGTGTGCGTGTCTGTGTGTGCGTGTCTGTGTACTCACCTTTTTGTGGTTGCAGGGGTCGATTCATATTTCCTAGCCTTGTGTGCGTGTCTGGGTGTGTTTGCGTGCATCTCGGAATTCTCTGTGTTTTGCTTGTGAACGCGGCGTGGTGATGGCGTGTGATGACAACCCACACTGCTGCTTCTCTTTGTTGGTGGTGAACTGCACGCCTCCCCACCCCCGATAACAAGCCACCCACCCACGCCCGTTCACGCCCGTCCACGACTACATATATCCACCCATGCCCGCCGCCCATCCTGACTACCGGCTGGACTACCTCACACCTATTTAACCAAAACTCCTCCTAGGAATCTACGTCAGGTAGTGTAGTGTTATTAAATCTACGTCATGTGGTGTAGGGTGTTATTAAATCTACGTCATGTGGTGTAGGGTGTTATTAAATCTACGTCAGGTAGTGTAGAGTGTTATTAAATCTACGTCATGTGGTGTAGGTGTTATTAAATCTACGTCATGTGGTGTAGGGCGTTATTAAATCTACGTCAGGTAGTGTAGAGTGTTATTAAATCTACGTCATGTGGTGTAGGGTGTTATTAAATCTACGTCATGTGGTGTAGGTGTTATTAAATCTACGTCATGTGGTGTAGGGTGTTATTAAATCTACGTCAGGTGTGTAGGGTGTTATTAAATCTACGTCAGGTGAGTGTAGGTGTTATTAAATCTACGTCATGTGGTGTAGGGCGTTATTAAATCTACGTCAGGTGTGTAGGTGTTATTAAATCTACGTCATGTGGTGTAGGGTTATTAAATCTACGTCAGGTAGTGTAGAGTGTTATTAAATCTACGTCATGTGGTGTAGGGCGTTATTAAATCTACGTCAGGTAGTGTAGAGTGTTATTAAATCTACGTCAGGTGTGTAGGGTGTTATTAAATCTACGTCATGTGGTGTAGGGTGTTATTAAATCTACGTCATGTGTGTAGGTGTTATTAAATCTACGTCATGTGGTGTAGGGCGTTATTAAATCTACGTCATGTGGTGTAGGGTGTTATTAAATCTACGTCATGTGGTGTAGGGCGTTATTAAATCTACGTCATGTGGTGTAGGGTGTTATTAAATCTACGTCATGTGGTGTAGGGTGTTATTAAATCTACGTCAGGTAGTGTAGAGTGTTATTAAATCTACGTCATGTGGTGTAGGGCGTTATTAAATCTACGTCATGTGGTGTAGGGTGTTACTGAATAATTACCATTAAGGCATTATTATTATTATTATTATTATTATTATTATTATTATTATTATTATTATATTTTGTAGTTGCTGTAATATAATATATATATATATATATATATATATATATATATATATATATATATATATATATATATATATATATATATATATATATATATATATATATATATATATATATATATATATATATATATATATATATATATATATATATATATATATATATATATAATATAATATATATATATATATATTATAATATATATTATATATATATATATTATATATATATATATATATATATATATATATATATATATATATATATATATATATATATATATATATATATATATATATATATATATATATATTCTATAAATGAGAATTTTGTTTTCTTTCTTGTTAAAGACAATTTTCTTGTCTTTCCAGATGACGGATGAGGTCGTGGTGCAGCAGAGTCTCTGGCCGTGGGCGTGATGGAGTGGGCGTGATGAAGTGGGCGTGATGGAATGGGCGTGTATCAAGATGAGTGTGGAGAAAGTCTTCAGTGTTCATGTAGGATGCTTGGTGCTCAAATGACTCCCTGGTGAACACCTCTTGAACACTTGTACAACATGGCTACCGACAGATGTTGCTGCGTCTTAGATGACTGCAGCATTGACGACAAGTTAGCAGCACCACTCAACTTACTTCTGCAGAAACTGAAGAGAAAATTTGACTTATAGATCAAACATTGAATTAAGACGTGTTAAGTGAGACTAGTGTAGCCAAACTTTTTAAAGTGTAACTTAAGTGAAAAAAAAAATGATCTCATTAAGTGGACTTTATGTAGAACAGAATTTACTGGTAAAATATTGAAATTTACACTGGTAAAATATTGAAGTTTACTCTGGTAAAATATTGAAATTTACACTGGTAAAATATTGAAATTTACACTGGTAAAATATTGAAATTTACACTGGTAAAATATTGAAATTTACACTGGTAAGAACCGAAATTTCAGCACATGCAAATTTTAAGATGCCAGTGAACCGTCATGTTTCTTGCGCTTCCTCTTTCAGGGAATAAATCACGCGTTGATAAGTAATCACAGTGTATACATCGGGAAGAGTGTATATTTTATACACACTGGGAATTTGTATTAATCCTTGTTTTAGGGATGATGGTATCCTTGGCTGGTGTGGTGTGCAGGATACTAGTGTAACCCTAGCGACCCACGTGTAGTCGATAGGATTTAAATCCAACAAATAAGCCAAGTAATCACAAATGAAGTTGAAGTCCACTCTGAAGCGCTATCCATGGCGTCGTAAGAAACGAGCGACGACCTCTGACCCCGACCACACTCAGCAAGCAGGTCAGCAAGCAGGTCAGCTGCTGACATCACAACCACACACGACAGACCATCAACCGACTTGTAAAGTTAACCCCGCCGTGTACAACGAACTGGTTACCCCGAAGGACCCTGATTTGGGACTGGGAACGCCAGATAAAAGCCAGATATTAGTGACCCCGAGGGAGCCTATTTTGGGAGCGAGAACAACACCAGAGCAGAGGCAGATACTGACTGCCAGAGCCTTCACGCAGGAACTAGGAAGACCTGGTAATCAGATTCTGTACTCCAGTCCACCGGTTATATTATTGTACCCAGGGACTGATGACGACGACAACGACGAGTTCGGGGAGGTGCGACAAGTGCCGGTCAGCCTTTACTACGACACCTACGGTAATGCCGTTGAAGAAGAAACGTTGGCTGGGGTGAGGAGCAACATCTGCCCACATCTTCCTGAGGGTGGACAGGACTTGGCACGGCTCAGGAGCCGCTACTGGCTGCAGGAAGAGTGTTTGGGCAACTACCAGGAGGAGAAAGCAAGCAGGGACGCCATGGGCTACTACTGGGTTGAGAAAGATATCTGGGAACCTCAGGTGGGAGAGGTGAAGGGGCAGGTGATGAAGCAGGCGGTTAATAATTCTCAGGAAGGTGTGATTACGAGACTTAATATTGCGAGGCCATCACCTGTTGATTGTGATTGTGGGTGGAACTTGAGACAGGACGAGGGGTGGGGCGTTCGCCGCCCACACTACCCACCCTCCGCCCACTACTGCCCTCTCATCACCCTAGACAACACAACATATGTGGCTCAGCCTCACGATATGTTATGGATGTGTCAAATGTACCCGGGCGTTGAGTGGACGGGGGAGGGTGGTGGGCAGCAAGCTGGAGTGGGCACAGGTAAGCCTGGCCAGTGTGTGGGTATGAGTGTGCCCCAGCGTACACCTGCCCCGTTGCACTCCTCCACAAGGCACCGAAAGTCACATTATCGCGAGAGAAATGAGAAGAAGCAGGACAAGCAGAAAAAGATGTGGCAGGAGATGAAAGTGTGGTGCAGGAGTGATGGAGGTGTGTGTGACACCACACCAACACACCACACCTGTGATGTCAACACCAAGGATCACCTGTTGCAGCAACGAGCCTGTGGTGAGGGCGGCCAGTCTCCTGCACACCACCGCCAGAGGGCGGCCACACTGCCAGGACACACGGCCTCCACACTGCCGGGCCACACTGCTGACCACACCCTTACCCATATAGACTACGACAGCCTAAGACTGGAGTGGCAGCATCTGAGGTATGATAATAGACACTCTGCAACACACACAAACAGAGGTGCACCTCTGTCTGTAGACCTACTAGGTCCTCATGCTGGGCCACAGGAGGCGCGACGGGAAGAGTGGTCAGCGGCAGGAGTGCCGGGGGGGCGTGATGAGGGGGCGTGGCCCGGGGGACCGGAGGGCTGGACCAGTGGAACATGTAGAGCACTGGGCCAGCCGGGAGCTGAAGCCTCAGTATTATCGCGCGCCTTGCCACGTGCACATGTGCGCCCAGGCAGCACCGTCACACCCTCCAGTGTACACAGTGCCAGCAGTGAAATATACAGTGTGATCAATACGAAGAGCAATGAGACGAGTGTAAAAGTAACAGCTGGCGAGAGTGAACCATGGTTGGAGTACCGGCATGGTGCTTGTGAGAGTGAGTGTACTTGTGACATGCCCTGCAAGGTGTCGGGCATTCCCGTGTATCAGGGGCGAGGTGGGGAGCCTCCGCGTAACTCACGGGGAGATGTGCCTCCCGCGACTCCTGCTGGAGGGGCCACTGGCCGAGGTCGAGGCGCCGGGCGCCGAGCATCGGGAAGCAGGTTGTCATCGACGTCTACGAGTCGTTCACCAGCCCAGGTGGGTCGACGAGGTAGCTTTGGTGCTCAAGTGTCCCCTGCAGGATGCGCTGGGCAGGACAGTGGCTTGGTCTCGCATCCAAGGAGGGCTTCCCTGCCAGGTCACGGGGGCGGCTTGACCCACACCACCGCTGCTGAGGAACATGCAAGAGGCGTCTCGTACAGGGCGAGGACATCTCCCTCCCCCTCTGCTCGCTCTCCTTCCAGTGGAAGATCTCCGAGGCTGGGGTCTCGAGCACCTTCCCCTGCAGCGTCGAGGAAGACCCCCAGTGCGGTACGGCGGCGGGAACCACTAGTGGATCCTCGCACGCCTCCCTCCACGCCACTGTCTCGTCGACCACCACCGCGAGCTCTGTACCAGGTAAGGCTGTCTCCCAGTCCCTCCCGGCGAGACTCACCACCCATGCACAGAGATAAGTCTGCCTCTAAACTTCCCGTCGTGGCTTGTAAACCCAGCAAGAGTGACACGTCGCAAATCTCGTCCCGAGTCTTCCCTCCACGACCCAGTGCCGGGAGGCCCACCATTGGACAGCGAACCGGAAATGACTCGGTTAAGGATCGCATACATGATAATAAAGGCGTGCGACAGACGTCAATAAAGCAGGACAATCCAACGAAGGAATTGACAGAGTCCATTGGTGTCCCCGACTCTGCTGAAGCTGAGGAGAACAACAGAACCGGTGGAGACTCCTCGGTACACCTGAGCAAGGCGTCACCCACCGCCGTTAACAACGACATTCCTGACCGACAAAACGAGGCGACCTGGAGAGCGCTGGCTGCCTCACGAACTAATTCGTCTTCCTGTCTACCTAAAACTTCTTCCCAAATTGATAAGACATCAGGATTGTTACGTCCGGGAAGCAACAGGTTGACTTCATCAGTATCCCGACTAAGTAGCTCCCGCCGCAACGCCAGTGACACTCCAAAAGTCAGTGACTCCAAGCTGGAGAGAACGTTGAGTGTTAGTTCCTCACACCTCACGCCCAAGACGAGCCTCACCCGCACTTACTCTGGACCCAAGAGCTCCCTGGTGTCGGGCGATGGTGCTAGCCGGGCCAGGATCGTCAGGAGGGTCATGAGTGGTAGCCGAACCAACCTCAGCAAAAAGAAATCCAACTCCAAGACTTCACTGGTTGTTGTCCGCCACAATCTATACAACCGTAACAAGTCTGGCTCCAAAAACTCTCTGTTGGGATCAAGGAATAACTTATTTAGAGCAAGTTTTGATTCCCAGAGGACAGAAAGTACCACAGACTCCGGCTGTAACTCTCCTTTATATGGAAGTCAGTGTTCCCTTGATGGTGAACGCAAGAAGTACAGTTCCTCCCCTTGCCCAAGTCTCCTCAAGAAAGTAGGATCAGGTTCTTTAGCTTCGACGGTATCAAAATCAAACAGTGATGAGTTTAATAAAGCGGATTCTAAACTAACGGAACATAATGGTAAGTCTACACCAGTACGTGTGAACACACAGACACCTGCTATAACCGACCCGGACTCAAAAGCTGCAGTCAGAGAATCTGATGCCAATGACAAGGACATGACGATAGTTTCAAAGATCGGCAAATCAGTTGTCGAGGCGTGTGGGTCAAACAGTAAAGAAAATAAGGTGAATATTGTCCATGCTCATTCTCTCAGTAGTAGTCAGTTGTTGAACAGGATGGAAAAGTCACCGGTGTCAGTAAAGCGGTCAGTTAGTTTGCAATTACCGAGAGGAACAAAGCCTTGTCTGCCTCCTAAGCCGTCAGCGTGCAACCTTCGTGCCAGTAGCAGCTCCCGCATCGCCTGCACTGAAAGTATTAAAGCTCCAGAGAACAGACAGCTGCCTGGTATCAATGTCTCCTTTCGCTCTGTTTCAACCCGACAGCTGCCAAGTTGCAGCAGCGATAAAAATATCATGGGAAGCAACGAAAGGCATACAGAAAATAGAGACAAAAAAGAGGTTACCAAAGTCTCCATTGTGGCAGAACCTAAAAGAAGAGAAGAAAAGGGCATTCAAGTTGAGGCCTCGAGTAGTGAAGAGGATACAGAGGAAGGTGACTATGAGGCAGAAGAGGAGGAGGAAGATCACCGTGAGAAGAGTGGTAGGGCAGGTAGACAACACGGTCAAGGTGAGGGAGCCTCACCAGTTCAATCTCAAGTTGTGTATGAGGACAACAGAAGCATCCCAGGGCCACCCCAGCCTACTCCATTCAGAGTGAGGGTGGAGAGGGATTCCCAGTCTGCTATTGACAAACTGAGAAAGAACACCGTCGTACATATTTCGAGGGATCCTAAGATGCAAACGATTCGCAAAATAGAATGTCTGAATGAAATCGAGGACAACAGAAGCAACGAGAAGAGGGCGAATGTAGCTGACGAGGAAAGTCATTTAATTCAGCGTCTGGAAACTTCTTTGGCTGACATTATAGACTCTGCGGTGCTGAAAAACCTGAAAATTAATGGGAATGTTTTGTCGGACCAGTTTGACGCCATTATTGCCACGCTCAAGAAAGTAGCTGCGTCGGTAGACTCAGGTGAACCCGACTACCCTCCCCTCAACCGCCGTAACTCTGAATCTGGATTAAAGGTCGCACCGAAAACCCACTTTTTACCTCCCACGCAGAAAATTCCCTTGCCACCCTCCATGCCGAAGATCCCCTTATCCACCTCCATGGGTAAGATCCCCTTATCCACCTCCACAAGTAAGACATCTTTGTCCACCTCCACGGGTAAGACAGCCTTGGGTCCCTCCACGGGTAAGACATCTTTGTCTTCCTCCATGCCGAAGACACCCTTGTCCCCTTTCACACCGACGATTCCCATGTCCCCTACCTCGCTGAAGATTTCCTTGTCACCCTCCACGCCCGCTACGCCCGCCACGCCCACGTCCGTGTCGTCATCCTCGTCTTCCATGAGTCCCGCAAGCCCATCTACTCCACGGACGCCCCCGTCTAAGACTCCTCTGTCACTTTTTTCCATCATTGAGAGCTCTTCAGGACAGGCGAGAACGCACCAGTTATCCCAAGGCAGGAAGCTCTCTCTTCCTCAAGAGTCCTCACAGGACATTTCTCCCACCCTGGAAGAGCTGGCTCGCAGGCACCACGGTAACCCTAACCACCTCAGGGTTGATCAGGACCATGTGGATTTTATGGACCTGGACCAGCCATATGTTAGCCCAGCTCCGGCGGGAGTAAGCACCAGTGAGCTCGTTGGAGGAGCACCTACACCAAAAGCTTACGGTAGGAAGAACAGCACAGGATCTCTCGGTCTCAACTCCTGTACATTTCTTCAAGATAATTCTTATTACTCTGGAGGACCCGCAACCACGACCAGCGTGACCAATCTGAATTCCCCAGGAGATTACTCGACTGCGTCTGAATCTCAGCAGAGTTCATTCAGAAAGGTTCACAGCACTTCCAACGTTAATGGTGCGCCTTCAGGTGGGTCGCATCGCTTATTCCAGCGTCATCTGTCGCTCTGTGGTCCTGACGACGTCTGTGCGGAGAACAGATTGCGGAAAAGCTTGTCTAAAAGTCGTGAGCTGCTTAGCCAGTTAGAAAATGAATACAAGAAAATAAAAGGCGATGAGAACAAGAGCACCCGTAATTCTCTTCTCATAGATCAGAGTTGGCTCGATAAAGACTTCGATGAACTTCTTCAGACTTTATCTAACGACAAGGCTATTCACTCGGATCCCCACGAGGCACTAGCCTTCTTGACCAACAATAATGCCAACACTATTACATCCTCCGCCGCTTCTAACAAGGGCGACAAATGGAGGTACTCCAAGAAGGACATGCCGCCACTGCCACAGGTTGACAGTCCGAGGGCAAGGCGCCAACAGAGTCAGTCTGGATCTGAGGGCCGACATATCTTCTCGTTCTTCCAAAAGAAAGGTCGGAGTCAATCTCTCTCCGGCACGGAAGCGATCAAGATAACTCTGCCATCAACACCAGAGAACGGTCCTCAGGGAGCCCATCGTCGGCTGGAAGCCGCCCATGGACCTCGGAGAGTCACTTACGAGAGCGCGACGTTGGATCGTCCTGGACGAACTAACCGAAGTAACAGTATCCCGTCGGCGGCGCCACAAGCCTATGCCGGGACTGCGTTACCGCACGAACTCGTGGGTATCTTCAAGCAGGGAAGGAGTAAATCCCTCTCTAAACCAACTGGTAAAGAAGACCAGACGAGAGATCAGGAGGAGGTGGAGGAAGAGAGAGGAGAGGACAAAGTTCAAGAGGACGAGGAGGAGCCAGCTAAACAAATGCGCTCTCTCTCCTTGCCCAAGTCTTTCCTCTCAGACAAGTACGGACTGACAGGCTTCAAGGCTGCTCTGCCAAGGTAAGTGTCAGCGATTTACCTGGCTGAGTTTAACAGTCTTGTTGCCCCATCTTACCTGCTGGCCTTGGAAAGCTCTGCTTTTCAAATCATAACAGTTTCATCACACATTAAAACATCCTTCATATTCCTGCCTCTGTTATTACGTTCGGATATATTGGAGACTGTTAGAGTTTCTCTGAGGTCAAATTTTATCTGACTGGCGATCGTCAAACATTTAGTAAATTCATTATTTGTTTTGGAGAAATTGGCATCAGAGTTGATGAGGCGTGACGTGGCTGGCTGAGGAGACTTGTTGGCCAGTATGTTTATCTCATTGTCTACACTCTTCAAAATATACACTGTCTCACCCTCTTCTGTCACTGTGACTTTGTAAATGGTCCAAGTCGGACCGAAACGTCGTCGTAAGCTCTTCTCTCATATGTGCGAGTTATTTGTGTATTGTTCCAGTCACGGTATTGTGCCTTTTTTTATTCTTAATTGGTGATCGTAATGGTAACGACTACGCCTGAATATTAAAATAAAATAGATCTAATACAAAAGAATAAAACACAATAGAATACAATAAACTGGAAGCTGGATGGTATAAGATAACTTGTTATCTTCATCATGAGTAAGTTATCCCAGGGGCTGTTATCGCCCCACTTAAACTGTAGAGGATGCTGGTGAGGGGCTCTTGATCCCAGGAACTGTGACGATTTATTTATGTAATAAACCCGGGCGGGTAATTCATCTCAAGAACTGGTGAAAGCTCGATCCTCTGTCCATATATATATTATATATATATATATATATATATATATATATATATATATATATATATATATATATATATTATATATATATATATATATATATATATATATATATGTCGTGCCGAATATGTAAAACTGGTCAATTAGCAAGAACTCATTTAAAATTAAGTCCTTTCTGAAATTTTCTCTTATACGTTTAAAGATATATTTTTTTCATTAATGTTAATGTAAAAAATTTTAATTTTGCACCAAAAGAATCTTAGAAAACTTACCTAACCTTATTATAACAAGATCAATTTATTTTAACCTAACCCAACTAAATATATTTTAAATACGTTTACAATAATTTAGTACTAAACAAACACAATCAAATATATTTTTTTTCGTTAGGTTCAGAATGATTTTGGAGAAATTATTGCATACACAAATTTTCATTTGTCCTATATGGCAAGACGAACGCTGCTATTTAAGCCAAGATCGCAAGTTCTGCCTATTCGGCACGACATATATATATATATATATATATATATATATATATATATATATATATATATATATATATATATATATATATATTATATATATATATATATATATATATATATATATATATATGACGTTGATCATGGCAGATCTGTTGTCTGTAAGGGAGAAAGTCGATTTCCTTATAATTGTGGTTGTTTGTGACGGTAGATGGGAGAGCATAATCCTGCCGCCTCCCTCCCTCCTTCCCTCTAGATTCCCTACCTTCTCCCTTCTCTCCCTGCTTCCATCTTTCTTATTTTCCTTCCCTTTCCTTTCCTCCATCCTCTCACCCGTGTGTGTGTGATAGACTGCTGATTGAACCCCGGCTGTGTTAGGTTCCATCCTCGACTGTTCCCACGTCACCTGTCGCACCTGCATACTTATGTGACGTGATTCCTAGCAGAGTACGTGTACATTTGGGTTTTCCCCAGAGGGGTAGGTCTTCCTGCTTTCCTTAGATGGTGGTGCTAGAGAGGGAGGGTGTGTTGGATGGGGAGAGGGGTGGTGCTGAAGAGGGAGGGGTTGGGTTGTGCTGAAGCGGTAGGAGTGGGGCTGTGCTGAAGACGGAGGGGTGAGGTTCTACTGAAGAAGGAAGGGTGGGGATGTGCTGGAGTGAAGGGGGGGGGGTACTTAGAGTGTAGTCTACTACTCAGTGCCAGAGTTATCAAGGTCGACCTTCAAGGATCATTGAGGTTGTGTAGCCAGCGGCCCTAAACTGTTCTGATATCTCTCCCACTCAGTGAAAGGCGCCTTGATGCAGCTGACCGGCTCTTGATCCAGGGAACTGAATGCTTCACATTCCCTAGCCTCTACGTAGCACCAACAGGCTTAGCGCTTCACACCTATTAGAATTAAAATAAAAACAAATCTGATATCTACGTCAACACACATTTAATTAGTTCTCAACACTGACTCTCTTACCAGTGTCAAGACCTTTGTTGACTGTATATGTCAGCTGTTTGTGTGTGTGTGTGTGTGTGTGTGTGTGTATGAGTAAGTTTATTTAGGCACAGGTACGCTTAAGTACAATTATACATAGTGTAAATTACCTAGACTAAGTCAAAAAAGTCAAAGTGACTTATTTCCATCGTTGTCCTTGTGTGTGTACTCACCTATTTATGGTTGCACGGGTCGAGTCACAGCTATGTGTGTGTGTGTGTGTGTGTGTGTGTGTGTGTGTGTGTGTGTGTGTGTGTGTGTGTGTGTGTGTGTGTGTGTGTGTGTGCAGTACAGGATGTGGCAGGCAGGAATGTGCTATCATCCTCGCCTAACACCCAAAACACCATGACACCTACAATAGAGTGTTTGAATGAACAAGGGGCTCCGAGGGTTGCTAGTCATCCCGGGGACGGTGTCGTCTCCTCTTAACAAGTGACTCCAGGCTTCAAACTTACAATATTTACTCTAGATTCATTTTATTTCATTATAAACAGATGTTGAAAAACCTCACTGTTTCATCATTACTACAACACTTTATGCTATTACTTTATTCAGGTGTAATAAAGAACAAGTCACTGGAACAATACACAAATAACCCGCACATGAGAGAGAGGATCTTATGACTACTACTGCTTAGAATAATGATAATACTAATACTACTATATCACTTTTGTTGAACAAAGGCGTTTTCTGTGATCGTATTTGCTTGGACCTCCTTTATTCTGCAACATTACAACCTCCTGGTGATGTGTTGATTGTAACACGAAGGAAAATGTATATATATATATATTTTTATATATATATATATATATATATATATATATATTATAATATATATATATATATATATATATATATATATATATATATATAATATATATATATGTCGTGCCGAATAGGCAGAAGTTGCGATCTTGGCTTAAATAGCAACGCTCATCTTGCCATATAGGACAAGTGAAAATTTCTGTATGCAATAATTTCGCCAAAATCATTCTGAACCTAACGAAAAAAATATATTTCACTGTGTTTGTTTAGTATTAAATTATTGTAAACAAGTCTAAAATATATTTAGTTGGGTTAGGCTAAAATAAATTGTTCTTGTTAAAATAAGGTTAGGTAAGTTTTCTAAGATTCTTTTGGAGCAAAATTAAAAATTTTTACAATAAGATTAATGAAAAAAATATGTCTTTAAATGTATAACAGAAAATTTTAGAAAGGACTTAATTTTAAATGAGTTCTTGCTAATTGACCAGTTTTACATATTCGGCACGACATATATATATGAGAGAGAGAGAGAGAGAGAGAGAGAGGAAAATGTTAGTGATGTCGGAAGTGTTGAAGATGGCCACAATGCCATCTTAGTGATGATAATTAAGCAGTGTTCCTCTGCTCCCTCCCACAAGATGCTCTCCCTCCCACCCTCCCCGGGCATCTTCCCTCCCACCCTCCCCGGGCATCTTCCCTCCCACCAGCGTCCTTCTCGTCTATATCACTGACAGCTGTTAGAGCCTTGGGAGGGGTGTCAGGAGGGGGCTGTTACTGTTTATTGTGAGACAGCTTTGTTGGTAGTAAGGTGATATTTGAGCCACTGATGCAGATTACACACACACAAACACAACACACACACACACACACACACACACACACACACACACACACACACACACACACACACACACACACACACACACACACACACACACACACATACACACACACACACATACACACACACACACACACACACACACACACACACACACACACACACACACACACACACACACTGACGTGAAGTAGCGATCAGTGAAGAGGCGGGGGCCAGGAGCTCGGACTCGACCCCCGCAACCTCAACTAGGTGAGTACAACTAGGTGAGTACACACACACACGGGTCGCCGGGTCACCATCTGGAGAAGACCCGGGCCGGAAGTACCGGCAAATCTCTAATGAAAGAATGAACACACACGGGGCCAGGAGCTAAGACTCGACCCCTGCAACCACAAATAGGTGAGTACACACACACAAACACACAAGTACTCACACACACATACATACACATACAGGAAGCAGAGAGAGAGGACCCAGTAGCGATCAGTGAAGAGGCGGGGCCAGGAGCTGAGTCTCGACCCCTGCAACCACAATTAGGTGAGTACAATTAGGTGAGTACACAGGAACCATAGATAGTTTTATGACGAGGTATGATAAAGCTCATGGAGCACGGACAGGACCTCTAGTAGCGACCAGTGAAAAGACGAGACTAGGAGCTATGACTCGACCCCTGCAACCACAAATAGGTGAGTACACACACACACACACACACACACACACACACACACACACACACACACACACACACACACACACACACACACACACACACACACACACACACACACAAACACAAACACACACATTCACCCACCCACACTGCTCACAAACACACAATAGGCCAAGTGTCTATCGACAAGTGCCTTTGACAATTAGTAACTGCTACACACAACACCACCACCACCACCACCACCACCACCACCACCACCACCACCACCAGCAACAACAACAACAACAACAGCAGCAACAACAACAGTGCCAATAAGGGGGTTATATTACAAGGCAGTTTTACGCTCTCTTCTCAAACCGGTTGTGGTGCACGGACTGGTCAGCAGGTGCAAAGCTCTAGGTGAAGCTTCAAGAGTAGGAAGGAGCTCTTTCTTCATGTATGTGGCGGTATGATGCTGCCATCTTGAGCCCCCAGGTGACGTAGCTGGCATTGGTCACCCTTGTCACCTCTGTTCTTTATATTCTGTCACCTTCGTCACCTGTTTCCAGCCGTGCCGGGGGATCGAACCACGGACCTCAGCGTGTGAGCTGATTGAGTCAGCAGTCGAGCTACGGGTCACCTTGCAAGCTAAGGGCTCCTTCCTACATCAACCCATTATAAACCTCCTCTATATACTGTGATTTATTTAGTCTAATGTGCCCCCTCCC